AAACAGATTAAAAATTACAAATCTAGACAGATCGATATATAGTGGTTTGGTTAATTTTCCTTCATGTTCGTTCTGTTATTTTTGCTCGATTGTATGAGAATGCATATTTGCGTGTGTATTAGCGTTTAATTTCAATAGCTTCTCTTATCTTCCTTTTAAACACAGACGTACCATAATCAGATATGAGCATAACCCAAAAAAAGTAAGAGCATCTCTGCACTAACAAGGAAAGACACCTAAGCAGACATCAGTTAACTGTATCGCTGAATATATATAAATGTTCTAAAGAAGTAACCAATGCGAATAAAAACAAGTGGACAAAAATATTTAAACAAACTTAAACCAATTTATAATATAATTAACTAACGTTAGATATGAAATGAATTCAACCTATTTCATTTAAGGTGATGAAGGGCTGGTAGTAGAATTTTCCCACAATAATATGAGTAGAGCTGACGCTTCCATTGAACTGCAAATAGCCTTGCTTTCCAAAGAGTTGTTCTCATCTAGGGTGGTGTACGGTTTCGACCTCGCATATGTCTTATCAACACCCCTAGCGGGAGTCGAACCGTGACAGTGCAGCTTGTGAGCTTTACACGTTAACCACTCGGCCGCATTGCCACAGTGCTCTTGGGTCACAGGGCCGATGCGGATTTCAAGCTAGGCCAAGCCTTTTCCCATTTCGCATTCTTTGGTTGTATTGTCGATAAAGCAAACGTTTTTTTTGCTATAACAATAACTACACTACTTATTTTTTGTATATAAGTAGAGTTTATATTTACTTATTTACCGTTAGTCTCGAAGCCCCACTTATATACGAAAAATAATCTCAAATTTTACCACAGGCCATCAATGCAGTGACCGGTTCAGACAAACATAGGATAGTCAAATATGAGAGCTGACATTTAGCTGGATTCGTGGTAAATCAAAGGCAACTTACAAGCAGTTGGGTGCGTCTGGCTGTGGGCAAGGTGCGACAGAGATAAGAATAAAGCTGCATTGTGAGTCGGAAACGTAGGCCGCAATCATCCAAACCTGAGCCTGTAAAGGGAAGAAAAAATAAAAATTAACCATAGTCAGAAACTGTTCCAAAGATTATTAATGAATTTTTGGCAATAGCAGTGTCAGCCCTTTTGATCTTTTACCTGCAATCGGCATAAGGCAATAGGAAGATTCAGGTCACAAATTGAAAAAAAGTAAGGTGTTGGTTTGACCTTGTTTTGGAAACTTGATCGGAC